CTATATTTTTAAAAACGTGATTATGTAGGTCAAAATGGTGAATAGAAGTGTAAAACGGTTCAGTTTTGGAACACAGCATAATTTTTCTCCAAAGTCAGGCAACCTGCACTTGATTAAGATGGTTTTGAAGTTGTAAACCTGGTAAGTGGATGAGCGAAGGCTCCCCACTCCACCTCCTTATTTGGTATTTGTCAATCACACCTGAGAAAGTGTCCCAAATTCCTTTTCCTACCTATCACACAAATCACCCAGGGAAGGGCAGTCTAGATCATGAGAAACCCTAACATTATATTGCAAGATGATGTTTACTAGACTGGTAACATGAGGTCTGTATTGAAGAGAATTCTAATTGTTTTGTAGGAGAGAGCAGGTTCCAAGAATAGTTTGCAGAGGCGTGAGAGGCCCTATGAAGGACTCAGGCTGGTTTCATCCATTAGCACGAGTCCTGTTATTGACAGAATTAAAATATCATTCATGGAGAGTGCCAATAATCTTGTGAAAAGTACTGGTTTTATTGATGACCAGTGAGGTTCCTTCAACTTCCTCTCATTCTTAGACATGAGCTGAGCCTCTTCTGCTAGGTGATGGCTCTACAAAGCAGTGGGCTCTTCTACTAGGATGCTTCCTAGCTCAGAATTGGGGCTGATGACTTTCAGGTTTCCTACTGATTCATCCATGTGGGATCTGCCTGGAGTGTGATAGTCTCCAAATTAATGGTGGTGAGTGTACGTTAACTCTTATCCTCTACAGATCTTCTGAAATGATAGGAAATGGCTTGTTTTAAAAAGCATCAGGCTCGCTGGGTGGTGGTGGCACATGCCTTTACTCCCAGCACTTGGGAGGCAGAGCCAGGCAGATCTCTATGAGTTCAAGGCCAGCCTGGTCTACAGAGCAAGATCCAGGGCAGGCACCAAAACAACACAGAGAAACCCTGTCTAGAAAAACAAACAACAGCAACAACAACAACAACAACAACAACAAAAACTATCAGGCTCTGGTATAGAGTAGGAAAGGAGAAAACTATGAAATCTGATTTTCTCCACTTCCTATGGAAGTCCTCAAATGCTGCAAAAGGCAATGCAGAGCGCAAGGAAGAATTCTGATCCCCAGCATGTCTACTCACTGATGAACCCTTGAGGCAGAAGAGCAATGGTGCACAGATAAGGTCAAGAGCATGTCTGCCCTCCCAGGGTACTCTTATCTGAAGGAGCTTTCTGCTCCATATGTACACTACACTACACTACACACACACACACACACACACACACACACACACAGCCAGCACAAAAGTAAACACTAGCAACCAGCATGCACACAGAAGTCTGCTCTGCTTCTGGTGAGTGCTGTGGGTCGATATTTCTCAGCGAAATAGCACAGTATGTAGGAGAGATGAAGAATGAGTTAATGACCTAGACAGGAGCAGATAACATATTGGAGATATGTTATCCTATCATATCACCCAGACAACTCCTCTTATCTCAGATTTAGAGATAAGAGAGACCTTGGTTGACACCAGTCTAAATAATGTGTGACAGAGTTTTGATGCTTTCTGATTTCTAATAAGTCAATGCTCCGTTAATGCCCATTTCATTCTTTTTTTTTTTTAAATGTTGATGACTTCTTTTTGCTGCAGTGTGAGCATACTTTTCTCACTTGAATCTACCCTAAAAAGTTTATATAAAAGGTAAGACACAAGAGCAAAACTTGGGTCATGAGACTGCAATATATACACACAGAGAGCCCAGAGAATTGAGAATCAGATAAAAAACAAACTGTAGAATTAAAGGCAATTTTAAATAGAAATGAAGAGTTGTACATATAAATCAGAAGGATGATGCATTCTGAGCAAAAATAGTCTGCTTACAAATTTCAGCTTAACATAATCGCCAACGGCCATGTGATGTACCGAGTGTTTTTCCTCTGGCTCCGGAGTTCACAGATTCCTCACTATTCTCTCGAGAGCTAACCTATTCAGTGACTTCTGTCAGTTTTTTCAAAACTACAACGTGGGAAAGATGTTTTTCCAGAAATACTTGAGATGCAAACACTTTCAGTTCTCATTGCTCTTCGGAAGAGGGTAAGGAAGGACACAGGAAGTGGAGAGGCCAGTGAAGAAGTTCCCAGTTTGTCTTTCATCCTGCCTACTCCTGGTGCTTCCTCCAAGCCTGTTTGCTGCTGCTCCTGACAGCCGCGCTGATACCGCTCTTTCCTCCCTCTTTGTCTCTGTGCCTCTCTCCCATCCATCATCAAAAATGAGAGGCCTCAGCTGGAAGTCTCTTCCTTTTCAAGCCCAGCCTTACTATTGCCTTAGTTCCTTTCATCTGTGTGGTGCTTCATTTCCTAACCAGTTCCTCTCCAATACCTTTTTGAACTCCATTTTCTTCACTCTTGATCCTGCCCATGCCCTTGTCCAGGTCATCATCTGGGTACTAGTTCAGTCGTGTTCTCTTTAAACATGGCCTGCATTCTCATTTGAACTCCTCCAGTCCATCATTTTGTCACTCTTCTGTTTTAGTTCCTCCCACTTACCTTAGGTTGCTCATAGTCCCACTATCACCCACCTTTCTCTGTACCAATCGACTTTCGGGTCAATAAGCAGACACTTGGTGTAATTAATGAGCCCCTGCTATTTACTGGTCATTGTTCCCCATCAATGATTTGAAGTCTTCTGTACTCAAGTCACCCATTCCTATGTCTCCTTGTTACTAAATATACATCTCTACCTAAATGCCCCACAGCTTTACCCCTGCTTAAACATATTGAAGGAGACACCTGTCTTCCAACAAAGTTCAGTCCTCTCCCACCACCACCTGAATGCTATAATGATATCTCAATAACTCAAAACCACCTCATACCTTATATGCCCAAGGTATAACTCATAAATACCCCACCTAAACTGTTCTTCCACATCACTGCTCCAAAGGAGTGGCTCAACCACGAACTCAGGGGATGAATTTTCTTACATCTCTTTCCCTCCCACCTTCCATCACATCCTGCGTACCAACCTCCGGAACACCTATCTCATCCATCTCCCTCTTCTATCCATTGCCATTTCTTTAGTCTAACCTAGACATCCTCTTTGATCTGAATTGGTACAGTAGCTTCTCAGTCAGCTGAGTACTCCTTCCATCAAAGATCCAGAAGCTGTAGCCACACTAGGGCCCTTTCATTCCCTCCTAACAGACAATGTTCCATCCTCCCTTAGCAAATTCTGAAATACTCTTTCCCATGCCTAGGATGCTCTTCTAATAACTACTTACTGGACCAGTTAACACCTTCCTTCCATGACATACCTATAACACCATCATACACACCCTATCCTGCATACCAGTAGGCACCATTTGCATAATGGCATCGCATACTCTTTTCTGACATTCTCTAGTAAATTACAAACTTCAGGAAATTAAGGTCTGAGACAATTTTCAATTTTTTTTTAAAACTGAGAATCTGCCACAATAATAAGACTCAGTGAGTATTTTTTTCAATAAATGATTTCTCAGTCCCTCCTACGGGATGCTTAGAAGCACTTGGACCTCTCTGTAGCATTCTGGCCCCGGGGTGACAGTACTGATCTTTCCTTCGTGTCCATACTCTCCATCCATGTTCCACAAGGCTCATTGTATAGAATTTTGATAACTGGTCCTTACAACCTCTCCTGGTTAGCCAGATTGCTCTAATTCAGGCAGGAAGACATGAAGATTATTTATATATCTTCTGCCACAATAGAGAAATTTGGTCCTTACTGACCACTAGGAGAGGTGGCCTTAACAGGGCAGACCAGGTAATGATCTTCCAGAATTCAGCCCAGGAGACTCAAGTTGACACAAAACACGTGAAGAACTGCATTTATGGATTAACTTGGAGAGGCCAACTCGCATGACTTTGAACATAGAAACTGCAGATTGACTAACAATTGGCTCCAAAAGTCTCCATCCTGGTTCTGCTTATGCCTTACACTTGAACAGTCGCCACTGGCTACACTTAATTTTCATATTAGTAACACATTCTCCTTCAATGGGCCAGCCAGGAACTCAAACAATAGAGAAAGCACAGTTCTGAAAATGTCAGGAAGTCATTAGTAAATCCCAGCTCGGAAATTCTGGGTTCCTACTGGGCTTTCTAGATAACCGGCCCTGAAAGTCCAGGCTAGAGAAACATCTTTTATTTCAGCGCCTGACTAAAAACTACAGTCAGTCAAGAGATGGAGTCATTTGTAAGCTGGTTTCATTTGGGACCGTGCCATTAGCAGGTGTAGATTTAGCCTGTTCTTTACCCTGGTCCCCAATGGAGCTTCCTTTCACTTTGTGTTTTCTTTTCGTGTGGGAAACGAGGGTGAAAATATCACTCAGTTCTCAGTGTGCTGGACGGAAGAAATCATCCACGCGGAGCTCTCCTATACATACAGCTCTAAAACCACAAGGTCCCTGGAGAGCCGCAGAATGTCACCTGCTCGGTGCGGCCGGGGCAAGCGGGCTTCTCAGGGAAGGTCCCGGCAGGATGCGCTCGCCCTCGGCGGCGCGTGTGGCCGCGCGCAGCGAACAATGGGCGGGGAGCGGGGGCTGTGCCGCCGGCGCCCGGTTTCCGGACTCTCGGTCGCACACATCCCGCCTTTGTTTCCCCGCCCGGCCGCGCGTGTCGCCGACGCGCTGCCCCACCAAGCGTTTCCGCCGGGCTGCGCCGCGCCGGAGGCCGCGAGGTCGCCGGGAGGAAGCGGCGGGCGGCGGGGCGGCCGCCCGGACGGAGAGAGAGCCGCCGCCCGCTGTGCTCGGGGGAGGCCTGCATGCCGCGATAAGGATGGGGGGCTATTGTCTGCGAACAGCCTTGCAGGCTGGGACAACGGGCTTCGCAGCCCATAGGGGACTTGCTGGTCAACCAACTCTGCCTACCTTGGACCAGACCTGAACACTCACCTTGCCTACCCTGGACCAGGTCTGGTCAAGCCCAGCTAACCATAACCAAGTCTTGTTTCCCTCCACACCTGAGGCATGAGTTGATCGCCCCTACAATGCCCTGACTTTGCCCACCTGGGAACTGGCCTGTTCGCCCTCCCAAATGCAACCTGTTTGGTCCTTGACTGCATATAATTCTCTACATGAGCAACTATGAATTATACCAAAGACCGGCTGGGGACAAAAATGTATTTCAACAGACAGAAATCCGTCAACTGCAACAAGCCTTCCTGAATGCCAGTTGTAACCTTATTCCGCTTTCTTTGAGTTGTTAAAGCTCCAAATTGTAGGTAACCAATAGCAATTTAGAACATCAACATTCCCCGACCCTTGGAGGAGGAAAATCTTACCTATTTCTGTTTTTGTTTGTTTGTTTGTTTGTTTGTTTTTTGTTTTTTGTTTTTTGTTTTTGTTTTCCATCCTGACAATTAAAAACATTGGAATGGAAAGGAAAGAAAGAAGGACAGGCAGGAAAACTGGGGATGTTTCGGCTCACTGCCAGCTCCAGGTCTTTACATACACGGAGCAGTATCTGAGGCTTTCCACAAGGACAGTGATGGGCAGCAATCACTGTCTCTCAGGGTTGCTTTCAGTTAGTGAAGAACTTGAGGGGAGATAGAAAGAGCCAAGAAATCTGGGCACAGATTTCTATTCAAATCCTCATTGGTGCCACTTCTGGACTGGCCCATGCAAATTACTTAATCATCTCCCATCCAAGTAATAACCAGGCTAGACTCTGCTTCACTTTCAAGTTCTGAGTGGATCAGGGACATTCAGGATGGTATAGCCGGAGACTTCAAATTTTTTTTTTTTGTCTTTTTCTTTATGTATAAAATTAGACCCTTAACATCTGTCTCCCAGTGTTGTTGAAGGAATGAACGAGTCTTTGTGAACCTGTGGCTACTTCACCTGCTGTCCAGGAAATGTTGGTTGACTTTTTGGTCCATTCTGTTTGTTATTTTAGGTTAAGATACAGGAAATAGCAATATGTATTAGACATTCAAACTGAGGGGCCACCATCAGTGAAAACAGGATATAAATGCACACCTAAATATAACTTGCTGGTCCCCTTGCCACTGTGCGACCTTGAACAAGTAAATCTGTGTTTCTGCAGCATTACAAAGAGATGCCTGTGCCTGAACGAGTGATGGGGGCCTGCAAACAATGCAGGCAAAGTTTCTCTTGAAGCAGTAGTGCCGGAGAGAACGGAGAGAACACACCCAATAAACTGCACCCACCAATAAGGCTGACCACAATCACTGCACTCTTAATTCTGACTCAACTTCCTTAAATTTCAGTGGCAGGTTTCATAAGCAAGCCAAGGGGGGGGGGGGATGCCTTTTCTTTTTAAAGAAATAAGAATGAACCCAAATTTCTCCTTCTAAGATTTTTTTATATGTGATAGACAATCACAGTCAAGATGGCCACAAGGTGTTCCCGCCCCTCCAGGAAAAACTCCAGATTTAACCCACTTCTCTCTATTCGACCCACCACCTCCCATCCCCACTCTCACTCCCACAGATTACAAAACCCACATTTGCCGGGCGGTGGTGGCGCACGCCTTTAATCCCAGCACTCGGGAGGCAGAGGCAGGCGGATCTCTGTGAGTTCGAGGCCAGCCTGGGCTACC